ATTAACATACTAATATTCATTCAATCAAGGGTGCAGTTCCAGAATGATTTTTTCCGTTTTCTTGAACATTGTGAGAGAGGGTGTTCTTCAAAATGTTTGTGAATTTCTCAAGTACTGATCTTGAATTAGATGACTTATTTATATGAGTGTGTTTGAAATTTGGTGCAGCTTGATTGAATGTAAGGGGACTGTTCCGAAGTGTGAGCTCTATTGAGTAGTGTGAGTAACATTCATGTTTTCACTATTTGACTTCTTCTAGCTTGCACATGTCACTCACACAGAGTCTGCATTTAAGACGCTACCTAATTGGATACATGAAGCCCCAGCAGACCCTCATCAGAGAGTGTTTCGTTAAAGGATCACACTGCTGCATGATTGCTGTGCACTGCTGAAAGGTGTGAAATGAAGTGAAGACGCTGAGATAACACGTCACCACATTTAGTTAAAGAAGTCTTGATGATTACACCCTTCGAGGAGTGAATTGCTGGTGACTACTTTTACTTTGAAACATTTAGAACACACTAACATGAATAAAGTATGAAACATTAACTTATCTACTTGCCATTAATCTACAAGGGAATCTAAGTTCTCAAATACACTCACAAGCAAATGAACATTTCATCCAATTCTTAGCTGTAAGTTTTTTTGACTTATTCTCCGTCAGTGAATTTACACTTGATTAATGTCACTGTAACAATATAATGTTATAAAACTGCATTAATCCTTCAGTAATTTCATGAATTACAGTTGACCCACTTGCTGTGTAACAGTGCAACTGCATCAGCAGCTGGAGTCCACGCAGTATCTCATATTCCAGTTAGCTTTGGGCAGTGACCTGACTGACAGCACAGTTCCATATGGAGTGTGTTACAGCTGAATTTACACAGTACTGCAAAAAACTAAGGGAATTGGGATTATAGTGCCAGTTATGGAAAGAGTATGCAGGTTCTTTACTTGGGAGTAACTACAATACAAAAATACTCCATTGCATGGATTGATTCAAGAAAACTACTTTACTTTATTCTTTAAATATAAATATGATACGGATCATAATTATTGATGCATGTAGTTGTCACCAAACAGAATTATGTAATTTCTAACAATGCATTTTGACTCTGTTGCCTGTGATTTTAAGTGTACAGTTTAAAAAGGCATTGAGGTAATGATGTCTGACTTATTGTGCCTATATGTAGACATGCCATACAAGCCAGTAGCCTGTCAGATTTACCTATAGCCTCAGCGTTCCCCCAGGTTTGGCTAAGGTCCAAATGAAGACATGTCATTAACATCATCTGGTGGTTGGCTAACGTCAACTGCCTGATGATTAGCATCTTAATTATTGCGGAAGACCATCAAACATATAAGGGATCATGAGAAAGATTCATGAGAACAATCAGCTCTCTAATGTGGAGAAATATTTAATTTGATTAAATCTAAATACTCCAAATACAAGAGCCTCAATGATAATATAATAACAACTCAGTGCAGGACATAAGCAAATTCTTTTTTTACACAACCACCACCACCACTGTACAGTCTTGATATTTGTAGCTGTTAGTTCTGATGTACAGTATAATCTACCTACTTGTCTATTAAATGTAAGCACATCTTTCTTTCAAGAGTAAAATATAATAAAAAAAGATGTATTAAACTTTTAATCGCCACACAAATGTACTGCAATTGTTTGATAGGCTGGTTTCAGCACCATGGACAGGGAGCTGAACAGTGATTGGATCAACAATACAACGTCAGGGATTAGAGTAATCCGCCTATTGGTCTGAACCAAAGTGACAGCAGCTTTACGCACGGTGATTGGCCCAGGGTCAGGATACTTCGCATTTGTTGCTCGTGCCATAGAGTCAATACGAAAATATTATCATAGTCTGATAGTTTGCCTGCAGAAATCGTCAGATTGTCTCAGTTATAGTTCATTCAACACGCAGCTGGAGCTCTGAGAGGAGACCGTGCGCGAAGAGAAGCGGCTGCTCACTGGAGGAGGTAAGCAGATTATAGGTTTCCCTTTGGAATCCGTAATTCCTGCCTGTGATGGCCAGCTCTCTGTCAAACTGTCCGCACATGTACATGAATATCACCGCCTCATTTCATCCATCAAATGCAGACTGTGATTGCAGCCAGCGCGTTTTTACAGGTCTGCAGAGGCGTGTGAGCGTCTTCTCCCCTCTGTGTGTGTGTGTGCGTGTGTGTGTGTGTGTGTGTGTGTGTGTGTGTGTGTGGTCGTTAAAATGTAATCACCAACATTGAGACGTGCCTGGAGGGCTCGCTTATTAAATCCCCCGACAGAATGTCTCAGCTTATCTTATAGCTCCCTCTGTTAAATGTTTTATTCTCATAAATTACTCTGCTCTATTTAGCAACGGAACAGCGATGTGCTCACACACATATATATGTAAAAGAAACTGCAAATGAACACATGTATACAGGAGCTATGGAAACCAGTCCCAACCTGCAGTCTCCTTATGTTACAGGCTCAACAGACTGAACACGAGTGAATCTAAGCTGCAAACTTGACACTGTATCCACATGGCAGGTCGGTCCTCTTTTCACTCTCACCACCATTTCTCTCCTGTCACCCCAACCGGTCGAGCCAGATGACCACCCACCCCCACTCTGGTTCTGCTGGACGTTTTCTCTCGTTAAAATAAAGCTGAAAGTGTTTGCTCGCAATTTGCTTGTAATATTTTAAGTTTTTGAACTTACTGTGTAAATTGCCTTGAGATAATATATGTGTTATAAAGTTAAAAGGTTGCCATATAGAATCGGCCTTATGTATGTATGTTTATATATTCTATACTATACTATATTATTATTTGTTGCAGAACCCAATTTTCCCCCACTGCCCGGATTCATTCCACTCAAGCCATGTTTCCACCAGGACTTTGACGAGATCCCTGAGCAGCATCGCAGCATGTGCAAGAAAATGTACCACCTGTGGATGTGTGAGTGCGATATTCAGCATATTATTTTACCATGTAATGTATGTGATGAATGGATAGTTTACTGAATTAACTGCAGGGCTTAAATTACAGCCATTAAACTTTAAAGTGATTCTTTCCTCAGAACAACAGCAGTAGTCTGTAAAGGAAAATGAAATCACCTGAGTTCTCCTGAAGGTCCCATAAACCTCTCCTGCATGTTTAGCTCATGATAAGAACTACGTAACAGAAGGCTGGTGGTTTACAAGGATCCTTTTGGTCCAAAAACATTTTTACTTTTATTGGCGGCGGCTGTAACATCCTGACTGGTTTATTTGCTAATGAGTCATGGCACTGACCAGATGGCCTTGGTTTGAGCAGAGCAGTTAACTTTGAAATTGTGTTAAATAATTTTCACCAGAAGCACTTTCATCAAAGTTTATTACACCATAAACAAGCGGCACAATGGTGTTTGTGATAGTGCTCTGCTCTGGAGGCTCCCTGCCCGTCCATGAAGGCAGAGGGAGGTGAGGGCAGGGGAAGAGCGGCAAATAAAAAAAACATGTAGGTAGATGTAGGTGCCATGACGCTAACTTAGCATGTTAGGAAAAGAACAAAAGGTTACTATAAAGAATGGCATGAAAACAGTGTAAACTAAAGTGGGGCTGGGATAAAGTTGATGCAAGGTTGCAGCTCAAAGAGGAGCATCTCACTGCCGTTAACCACAGCTGATTTCATTTGTATGCAGGGTATAGTCAACAATCTGTTTTCCATGAGGAATAATCATATATATATACATCAACACACATGTATTTGTTACCCTTAACTCTCTATCAAAACCTCTTTTCTTTTTGCAGGTGTCTTCTTTTTTATAATCGATAAACATAAACAGGTATTCAAAGTCTCAATCTGCTTCTGGATGTGCTGCTTCTCTCTTGTTTCTCTTGGTCATTCTTGTATGTGGATCTTCATATGTTACACTGAGCAAATGTTGCATCAATTCGTTTCTGTCTCATTCCATTAACCGCCTGTTCTGTTTCGGTTACTGCCGTGCATTGGGGAAATTGAAGTGTTTATTTAATATCTGTCATGTTGCAGCTGTGTTTAGCTTCATAATGTTCTTACGAGGTACTTTACATTTTCTCTGCAGACCAAAATTTGAAACTTTGCTAGTCTAGAGAAGAAATATGGAAGCAAAGCACAGAGCTACAATTAGAACATTAGTGCAACTTATGTAGAGAGGACAGTCGATTCATAACATTGCTGAGAATGACTAGAACAGGAAACACACAGAAAGGCTCTTCAGGGAGCACAAGCCATCCTCTGTGTCAAGTATTCTTATTACATGATTCACAGTATGTTTAATGCATGCTCCCTGCGTGGGTTTTCTCTGGGTACTCCTGCGCCCCCCCACTGTCCAAAGATATGGAGCTGAGGTTAATTGGAGACTCTAAATTGCCTGTAGGTGTGATCCTGGGTGGTTGTTTATCTCTGTATGTTGCTCCTGTGATACAACAGCCACCTGTCCAGGGTGCTCCTCGCCTCTCACCCAATATTGGCTGGGAATGGCTGCAGCTCCCCTGTTACCCTTAAAGGATAAGCCGCATGGATAATAAATGGATGAATGGATGGACATTAAGTTAATGCTGTCTGACTTCACGTCCACTTTTTGTTTGTTCTTTTCTGCATGTGCATGTCTTTGCATGAATCAAATAGATGATGTTGTGAATCATTTCTTAAAATATCTCTGTTGCGGTCCCACAGTGAACAGCGCCACACTTGTAGTGAATCTCTTCGGATGCTTTGCTTGGATGTTCGGTGGAGGTGGAGTGACCAACTTTGGCATGGCAATCATCTGGCTCCTCATGTTCACTCCCTGCTCTTACGTCTGTTGGTTTAGGCCCATCTACAAGGCCTTTAAGTAAGTCACATAAAACGCTCGTACTGTCTGGCCTCTCCACACGGGCGGCACTGTGTACCTGACACCACCTGAAACCAAATTAGATCAAATAATTCAAATCACACAGAATATAACTTGAAAATAATACAATATCACATGTGAACTAGTGCTATATTTGATTTTCCTACTGTGTTTATTTTTTGATTTCTTTCTTTTCTCAGGAATGACAGCTCCTTCAACTTCATGCTGTTCTTTTTTGTGTTCATGGCCCAAGTCGGCATCAGCATCATCCAAAGCATTGGCATCCCTGGGTGGGGAGTGTGGTAAGAGAAGAAAACATTACTTATCTCTTGTCAATTATTTTTAAGAGCTCATAATGCTCACATAGTATTGAAATTAATTATTTTTGTACATTTAGCATATTTTCCATTCCAAGCATGTCCTTTATATTGTGGTCTTTCAGGTAAAATCATTGTTTAGAAGGATCATAAGCAATGTACAAAAAGCTTTAGTATCAGTATCTTTAGCGCCAGTCAAGTGCAACTCAAGTGCTTTAGTCACATTCAAAGTTCTTACATATTTCTTACTGCATTTATAAGTGAGTCATTTACTGTTCTGCCACAAGCTAACAATAAAATTTAAGAAGTGGTTTTCGAAAGAAAGCAAAATCTGATTTGAGAGAAACACTTTGACTTCAAGGCAGCCAGGTTTCATTAACACGTCAGTGATGGGTCGTCAGAAATTGACCTCATATAACATTTATGATGGTCCTCTTATTAGATTTTGAGAGGCTGTTAAAGCCATCCTCAAAATGTCACCTGACTCAGGCTGATGATCAGGAATGAATGTTATGACAGCCTCCATAAGGTTTCTGAATGTCACCATGTGCAACTGGACGTCCTCATGTATGAGCCATACAACTTTTCAACTTTCAACAATTATTGGCATTTAACGTCCTGATGTTCAGTGGAAGTATTCTGATGAGAAATATCAGATAATCAAGTGACGACCCACACTCCTCATCAAGGGCTAAAATGTATTTCTTTTCTGGATGAAATTTGGTGAATGTACTTCCTGTCTTTTTTCAGTGGTTGGCTGGCAACCATCTCCTTCTTCAGCTATAATATTTTCATTGCACTGATAATGCTGGTCCCTACAATCATGTTCACGGCTGTGGCCTCGCTGTCCTTCATTGCCCTCACCAGGGTAAGAACTTGCACTTTTTAAAAAGAGAGATGTAGAGAGGTTTTTTGAAGTGATGTTTATTCGACAGCTGTGATTACATTTCATCAAAACAGTTCTGATGTTTTAATCCTTTCAATATAAATTTCTGCAGGTGTTAGAGATGCCTTTATATTTTGTGAGGGGAAATAATAAATGGGCCTTTATCAGTCCAGAATTCGAGATTGATTAGTTGATTCAAACTAACTAGGTCTAATTGAAAATACTATATCAGCTAAAATGTATACAACCATGATGGTTTATTGATAATAACTTGTATTCTTACCTTTCCGCAGATCCATAATTTCTACCGTGGCAGCGAGGCCAGCATGTCCAAAGCTCAGGAGGAGTGGGCCACAGGAGCCTGGAAGAACCCTCATGTCCAGGCTGCTGCCCAGGAGGCCGCCATGGGGGTGGCCACCGGAGGCATGCAGAATCAGTACTCCAGCCCACAATATAATGACAACCAGATGTAAACGCCTCAAAGCAGGAGGTTTCAAAGAAATGATGCGACAGTTATGCCAAAGATTGAGTGGCAGGTTTAGGAAGGATCTTAGCACGTATGTATAAAGTTTAGAAATGTAACAACTGGCATATTTGAACATGTTCAGATTTTACATCAGATTTAGCAGAAATGATTTCAAAGTATTTCATTATTTGGCAGATAAATATTTCACTGGGACGCTGGTTTTCACCTTCAAGTGTTATGCTGAATGATTGTTATGGTTTATGTTATTTCTCATGTTTTTTGTGTTTCTTGTTTAAGAAGTTGTAACTAGTTTTGAATGTGTTTGATACTTTAGTGGCTCCATTATGAGAGCTTTATGTTTTGTGTTGACCTGCAGTCTGAGCAGTTTTTACAAAAAACTTTTTCTTCAAAAATACGTAAGATGAAACAACCTTTGCTGTCATTAAGATTGAATTATTTGGTATTGATTGATTAATAAATGTATCTATAACTGTACATGTTAAATTGATATATGACTTAGGATGTAATATTTTAGAGAGACTCAGGGTAAATGAATTGCGATTTTGTGATTGTATTTAAACAATGCTACTTTCTGTGACCTCGAAACAATTTCATCATGTTTCTATGCAGTTTATCAATGAGTGCACTGCGAAATTAAAGAGGTTTGCAATGTGTAAAATGTCTCTATTACAATATGAAACAGTGTCATTTTAAGAATTCAGTTGGATTTAAATTGAAACAGAAAGTTAAATAGTACTTGAAGCTTTCTCTTTGCTGCCTCTTGAAAACATTGGATGTCATCACAGAGGAATTTACTTTGATTTAGATCCATGTAAATCCAGAAAAAAATAAAGCGGAAAAAACAATACGTTTTTCGCTGATGGTCAGTTTAGCAGTTGAGTTTTCTGCTGCTGTGCAGCTGATTGACCACCGAGAGGCGCTGATGGTTTTAGAAAGAAATCAAATTCTCCAATGTACACAGATTACCTTCATTCATCCTTCACAGCATAGTCTGCATTCGTGTTAGTTCCTTATATTTCCAGTTTCTCAGTATTTTTCTTTTTTTAACCACTCGTTCCTCGTCGTTCCTCCTCCCCATCACACAAAATGGGAGCTATGGAAATGAATCACTGATATGAGGTCATGTGTTATCTTATTCTTATATGACGTTCACACAGGCATTTGTAGCCGTTTGTGTTATAAAATATAACAAATAATTTGATGGCAAATACTTATTGTATTACTATGCACTCATGCAAGGTAGTTTCTTTGCATATATCATACTTGTTTCTTGTCTGAGTTTTTGTCACTCAATCATTTAAATGTTAATTTAGACTCTTTTCAATACGTTAAACATAGCAAATGTTTCAGCTGCTACATTTTAACACTGTTTAAATAGAAAATGTAAGTATGAGTGGCATCCTTGTCCTGCAGGTGGCAGTATTGACCCTCTATAGCCGTTTGCACACTGTTGTCCTTCCACCAGGGGCACTGCATGACATTTGTTTTTCCTCCCATCTGTGTATTTATGAAGCCTCTATAAGAACACAAGAAATCCGAGATAGTTAAGGTGATTGATGCCACTTGCCAGACTAAAAATAGTGTTTTTTTATGCAGCAAACACAATTTCTCACTTGACGTGCTGTGAGCAGGTGACCATCATAAATTAGAATCAAAATACACTTTAAAGGGATTTATCTGTGGATGTGCTGTTCCCTTCAGTCCGCCTCTGCCTGTGTCATGAGAGTGATAGAATTACTCTGAGGAGGGGTTGGAATTATACAGCGATCCAAAAACCCAGAGGACCCTCAAACAGCCACCAACAAACACTGTAATTGCCACACACATGGAAATCTCTTGTGACAAGCAGTGACAGCAAAGACACACGCCTTCAGGTAAACAGGAGTGATTGCCAGCTACAGAATACACTCATTGATTCACAACAAATCGAGGCTGTAAAAATGCTTCCTCCTTTTACCATTATATGCTGACCATCCGTAAAAAAAATATTATGAGGAAAAACTACAAGCCTCCAGTCATTTCATTCTGATGAGAACAAAAAAGGCAGATCGTACTTGGATGCCACTATGTGTTGGGATGAGCCCCAGTGGGCTAGAGTAACTTGCCTAGTGAGGGAATCCAAACTGGCCATGGCACTTGGTAGCAAGCGCCTACATAGCTGTATTGGTCTCCAATAGCCTGGGAAATACTGTATCTGCTGCCAAATGGTCCACTTTGTTCTCCAACTAGTTGGATACTTTGTTTGCTTTATAGCTGCAACATCTAGGAGGTGAACAAAAACTGTTGCCGGCTGCAAAACCAAAACAACGAGCTGAAAGAAAGCAAAATGTCAGATAGTCAAGTGAAAAGCTTCCACAAATGACTCAGTTATTATATGCTAGCATTATCTAAATAAAACATTCAGTATAGTCATATGATACCCTTAAAGGATAAGCCATATAAATAATGTGTGTGCTGGTTTGGGGAAAAGGGGGGGGGGGCTAAAGTTGACAAAGAACAGAAGATCTCTCTGTGGTATTTTTCATGAGATATGTTGCAAGACTGCCGTACACATACCATCTGGACACAGCTGTACAGATGTGGAGTTATGTACTCATACACAGAGGTTATGCTTGTGTCTATGTATGTGTGTATATAGGAAGCTGGGGTCCTAACATGACCTCTGAGGTCACAGAGCCACGCAGACTAGCTTAAATGTAAAATAATCTAGACGAGGAAAATCGTTGAGAAAGAAGTGCACTCTCTAATTCACAAAGATTTGAAAAATACAGCAAACTCATTAGCCAGTATTCTATTCACTGCAGGCTATTTCTAAGAATGTTCCTTTTTTTTCTGTATAGACAAAGCTGACGAAGACTAATGGTGAGCACATGACAAGAATCAAGAACATGCTGTTTAAACTGAGTTTACCTAAAGAAACAGGTTGGGATCAATGTGTGGTTGTGAGTCATTAGACTGTTTGTTAATGTTTATCTGCAGCCTGATATTAAGCAAACTGGGCACTAAATTATCCAACTGATTTAAAGTAGAATAAAAATGGAAGGAAATATAGTTCTGTTCATTATTGTTTAAAAAATTGACCATTTGCATAATTGTTCCCCCAACAAAATTCTGAACAGGGACTGATCACACAGTAAGGTGCCAATATTAAAATAAAGACAAACAAATGAACTAAATCAAACAATCACCATCAGAAGTTTGTCTTGTTTTGATATAGGAATCAGACGTGTATCTCTCATGTTGAAAAACTGAGGTCATGTGGTAATGGTTTCTAAAATAGTTACGCCCTACATTATAATAATGCACACTACTTTAAGTTACGTTTGGCTGCACATGTGTTGATTCCATCTAACAATCATGAAATGCCTCATTATTAAACTGCTAAAGTGAAAATGTATGTGATTGTATTAATGTTATTCTTAAAGATATAGTTCAACATTTTAGGAAACAGTTAGATGAGATAAATACCCCTCTGATATCTGTTAAAGTAAATGTTGCTCCTGAACAAAGGAGAAGTCTGGATTTTTGTATTAAGCTTACTAACTACTCACTCTAACTACATATTTACTAGGCAGATATGTTGTGAGATTGTATTGATCTTCTCTTCTGACTCCTGTGAGAGTGTATTTCCCAAAACTATTCCTTCAACAGCAAAGTGACCTCTAAGGGAGCAGCCCCAGCTGGACTTTGATATTTCATGTTGACACAGACTCAAAAAAACACACAAACCAGCAGCTCCACAAAAGTTATTGGCGTCACGCAGTAAACCCTCCCACCCTTGATCATCTTTACAAGTGCATTATGATGAGGAGTCACAGCATCCAGCCAACTACTAAGGAGGGGTCACCCACTTGTCTGGAGCAGGGCCATGTTAGTCAGCTACAGCGAAGGAGCCTCACTGCCACCGGTCTGTGAAATCACCCATCTGATGAGTCTGGTGAAATACGGGCCTGTCAGAGGGGAGAAAGGCTGAGCATAGTGGCGTGGGGGTCGTCACTCTCCAGGGTTGACTTCATCACTGACGCTCCCCGGAGCCAGTGGAGGGGCCGGTGGTGGAGCAAGGGGCTTTGCCGGTTAAGGCCGTTCTCCCATCCACAATATCGCTTCCAATTTCCTGGAACTATCAACTTGTACATCCAAACTTCAGTTTCTACCTTTCAAGGAAGGACAGCCTTAATGAGAATTTATTGCCCTGTTCTGGACTCCCAGGGATCACTTTGCATAGCCCTTAAAATTGATGAGTTGAGAAATTGAAAGAAAGTAAGTTCTGAAAAAAGGATTTTTTAAAATTTTGTTTACAGCAGATACCAAAAAAGAAGCCAGATGTTTCCTCAATGAGGCAGGTGGTATTTAAACTGTCAGGCGGTGCTCTCCCCTGTTTGTTGTGGCTTTGACACAAGTTTCCTCTTTGCTTTGTGAAATGGCCATCGAAGTAGAGTGTTAACGCAAGTGAAATGTTTAACTCAGATATATATGGTGGCAGCAGCTCTGCATCAAGTCTGCAAAGGAAGAGCTATTATCAAAACAAATGAGGCAGCATCTGCAGCTCCATGTAAATCAGAACACGTTTCCCCCTCCTTCACTATTCAAACGGTTTTAGCCATTCACAATCTCCCAGCCTGTGGTTTCTCATCTGTCTCCTTTCTTCCTCTACAAAGCCATCCTTTCCTCTTACCTTCCCCGCGCAACAATGTGTTTATCCCTACGGAAATGAAGATTTCTTCACATCTTTATTCATTTAATTAGGTCTCAAAGCAGAGCCAGAGCCAGAAGATGAATTACCTGTGGCCTTGATATTGTGCCATAGAATCTCTACACAGTAGGCTCTGCAGAAATTAGACCTTAAGTCTGGAGGTGGGCTTTTTGGCAATGTCAGCTCACTAGACAAGTCCCTATTTTCTCTTTCCACTAAATTCAATTATCCTCACATAAACCTGCTGCAGTGAAGAATGGAGGTCTTAAGTTATGTCTTTTAGCTCCGTCTCATTGTAAGCCAACTCGTCAAATTAGGGTGGAGTCGCTTGAGTCTTTGTCAACAATTAGTCTTTTTATTGGGAGAAAGTCAAAGTCATGTCTCTGAGAACTTTGGAACTCTGCTGGAGCTGAGCACTTTGCCCTAGAAGAATTAAATCTTGCAAATTAGCATAAACAAATAGAAAACTGCCTGAGAGACAGTCCAAACAATTAAATAAAGATGTATGCATTGTGTAATAGCTTAATTATGCGCTTGCACATACTACAGAGACAAAAAGCCAGATTAAGCACAAACAATAATTATTATAATTTAAACACAAACACTTTCTAATGATGTGACCTCAGCACAAACTAATACACAAGTTGTGTCCCAAATCAGGGGCCACCTCCTTAAGAGGACGTGGTCTTTGTGGTCATGGAGATTGTGAAGGCTGAACCGAAATGAGACGGTCTGGTCTATAGAGGATTTCCTTGATCGCTGTCTCCAGCTTGTCACAGCCTTATTGCTGTCGTGTAGCAACAGAGCTGCACTCACACAGCCTCTAAAGGATGCAGTCTCTGAATCGAGACACAGACTCACTAGCTGTGGCTAAAAATGGATAATGTAAGGATGGGGTGGCAAATGACTCAAGCTGAATGTTGTCTTGTTGTCATTGGTGCCACTGTAAACTTATGATAATGCACAGCATGAGTTAAATTATTGTCTGATCAACTCAACTATCTGGTTCACAGGGGAATAGAAAAAATGAAAATATATATATATATTTTTTTGTGTAAGCCATTGTGAGCCATTACATTTCTTCAAATTGTTACAAATGTTAATTTGGACAGAAAAACTGATTAAATGTATCTGTGAAGTCCTTCAATACTGGAAAACCTGTTCATTTGGACTCAAGAATGACCTGATTTAATTTTGGTGGTTGAATGTCAAAGATCAAGGTCACAGTGACCTCACAAAACTCCTTTTTGCCTTGTGAACACATAATCGTAAAAAACGCCTCAAGAGAATCCTTTCAAATTTAGCAAAAACGTTGACATACACTCAAGGATTACCTGAATTAACTGGATTTGGGTGTTCAAAGGTCAGAGGAACAAAAGTCTCAGTTGGTGTTGACAGGTCATAACACCCTCCACAACCTGTCTATATCCATCACAGATCCCTAAGGTTCATTCTCCTCCACTTTCATGCACAGGCGGTACAACTGTAATAGCCCACTGTAATCCTGCAGCCCTCATTTGGTCATGACTGACAAGTTCAGACCACAGAGCTGGTGTTTCTTCGTGTTTTTCATCAGCAGCATAACTCCCATGGCTTCCATTCCTGCAGGGGCTTTGTGTATACAATGACGTCTGGCCACTGAGAATGCTGGAAGATCTAATCAGCCCTGCTGCACTTCACTTGATCTGTTTCCTCAATTATGTTTAACATAGGTTTGCTGCTAAAGTAAATGCAACTTGTTGGAGCGGGGGGTATCCTCTCCTTATTGACAATCAGACACAACAGTTTGCGGCCCAAAGCAAAGTATTTACATATGCAATGGATTTTGCTGTTATCGTGTTGCAAGCCGATCTGTTTGCAGTCTCGCGTCTTTCCCGTTTCTCAGGATACTAATACACTATCTTGTTCTTTTGATCAGGTGCCAAGCTGTTTTGCAGAACTCATGCACTGAATGAAAGAAGGCCTGCAACATTCAAGGGGAATTACAACACGACTGCAGAGTGTGTAACCATACAAAGAGTGATCTTCCCCTGGTTTAACTCTTGGATCGGGAAGAGCAATGACGCTGCACATCCTGTCAGCTAATCAGCAACATCTGACTCGTACAATCCCCTCGTAATCTAACAAGCATTTATACCAACACATCCTCCTGCTACGTGCTGCTAGTTGTGTTAATTTGTCCCTCTTGCCTCCTCCTGTTCTACTTTCTCAGTACCATGCTTGTGCTGGCACTGCTGGCAACGTGCATCATGTATATTCCATATCTCAGCGATACAGCGTGTGTCTGGCGGGCTTTGTTCCGTACAGCCCCTTAGGGGTGTTTTTATGTGCTCCATTCAGAGTCTCACACTGTTTGAATTCACTCGGGAAACACCCCATAGCACATTTGTGATAAATACAATTGCATATTCATTTGTTGCAAGGAATGGTCCTAAATCATTTACATGTCTCTAATTCGACTGCTTTGACAGAAATGGCAGATGCTGCTGTTTGGAAATGTAGTACGTCTTTTTCATTACCAACAACAAGGACAGGAAGCCAGCACTTTAAAAGCGGCTCCTGGTGGACATTGTGCAGTTTTGGCGACATCCTACTGAGGAATGAATATCAAACTTTATTTATGCTACTTAGCCAGATTGCATGAAAATATGTGAAAGTAGAACCGGAGGCCTGCTTATGAAAAATGAAAACCTTTCAACATGACAAGTCTATGCAGTGGTTTTTTGGAAACGTATTACCTCTAAGTACAAACAATTCAATGTATCATTTGTCTTCTCCCTCATTAGGAGTTTGCCATCTGTTCCTGCTCCTGTCTGTCTCTCTCACACACTTACACAAACAAAAATATAGACACACACACACATGCAGGAACATTAACATAATAAACACATATGGTCAAAGTCGAGTAAACCGGCACGTACTGCAGCACTTTCAAGAAGCAACACAATGTGGCACAGAGAGATGGAATGGGGGCGATTTTGTGTGAACAGCCTGAACAAACAGCCCATAACAAGAGGAAGTCCCTTCACTGGGGTCAGAGTTTTGTTAGGACCGAATATGAGAGTGAGAACTGCGTATCAAAACAACCAGATAATGGATTCTCATTCCTCTGGGCGACAGGAAATACTTCAACAAGGAATGTCTCTGTCTTTTCCAAATAGCATATTTCACAGCAGAATTACCACCTCGCAGCTGTATGCCTCCCCCAGCCAGTCACAATCTGCACTGTTTTACCAATTTATTAGGTACAGTATAAATGTTATCTTTGCTAATATCCAGTTTTTGCCAAGAATTTGGCAGAATGAAGTGGATTCCCCCTATAGTTTTATAGATATAGTTTTAATTCAGTGTTGTTTGCATACAACTGAGGAGAAACTTTGGCACCACCCCCTCCCACCGACCTTAACAGAGGATCTCCAAAAGGGTCAGGGTGAGAATTTTTATGAAGATTATTTTGCCGTTCCCAATATGTTTTGCGTTCTCTTATAATGCTTTTGTGTTATCTCAAAATACATGTTGCATTACCTTGTACTAATTTTGCATTTCCCCCCAATACTTCTATTCCTCTATTCCTTCTGAGCCATATGTAGAGAAGTACAGCTCGGATCGCATTTTTCTGTCTGGTAAAACCAGACCTGAACTGATGGGCATTCTGTTTTTGGGCCACTTCGGGTAGCGATGCAGCACTTCTGATGTTCTTGTGGCCCAGACAAAATGGCAGTGAGCTTTAAGTAAGCAAGGTGCAATCTGGATGTGAACCTTAACTGCCCCATGTGGCAAATGGAGAATATGGCCCAAATAGCACACAAGTAATTTGGCCTACTTTTGGCTCCTTCAGTTGACATGCAGTATTGCTATGGCTTACTTGTGGCCCAGAGCTACCAAACAGGGGCGGACCTCCAAAGTGCCATCAATCCCTGCCGTATGTTGGCCAGAGGACAGTGTGGATGTGTGACGGTGTGGGCCAAATCTGGGCCTGAACAATTTTGCTATGTGGGGGGGACCCACCAGGTCTGATTCATTTGGAATCAATTACTGTATTCAGGACAACTGCACTGACACACATGACTGCAAACTTGTGTGAAGAATGCACCAACATTTCAATGTAATCAAGAAGTATTGTGAGCTAACACAAGAGTATGTAAGCGAATGTAATATATTGTAAAGGCAACATAAAAGTAACCCTCAGAAAAAAATTCTTGCTGTGACCAGAATTGTTCTTCACCTTTTTTCTGAGATGAATCCTCGTATTGTTATGTAAGTAGTGCATTTCTGTACAGTTTGTTCTTTTGTTTACACTTGAATGAAGTGATTCAATATTATCTTGACTTTTAATCAAGTGTGATTAAAGATGGTTCAAGTACTTATCCTTGTTTGACAGTGGGACACATCATCGCCATTACTCTTCAAGTCATTGGTACTATTAGATTATTATAAGTGTGCAACTGCACTGGAAAGCGATTAACAATGCATTAGTTTTGATAAGATCGTAAGCTCCTCTCTCATTGTTGCAACACAGCATCCGGCTCCATCTCATGATCAGAATCAAGACGTCACAGAGAGTAAACCTGCAGAGATGAATGGGTCTGTGGCTGTGGGGTGACAGTGTGTGACAATAATGGAAAAATGAACCAGTCAGAATATTTTTCAGTGTCGACACATCTCAACATCAGCCAGAATCTCTTCAACAGCACAAAAACGAATGGGACTGATTCATGTATGTACAGCACTAGTGCCACCACTGTCACCTTTTGGTTTTTGTAGGCATCTTACTATATATGCGGTGTGTGATTTTCTATATTTGTAAAGGTCAGGTTTGCATCCATGCCTGAATCATGCATGAAAAAAATAACACACAGCACCTGGAAAAATGCATGAATGCATTAAACATATCACACCTAATATTCTATAGAGAGGATGATTCCAATAATTTGTCACACTTGTCATATGCCATTTCTTGTTGGATCTACTGACATGTATTATATGTAAACCTGTAGATGTGGTCTCATATGCAGAATGAACCACCACTGAAAGAAAGCTGCATAGCATTCATATCCCACTCTGAGCACAACAGATGTGTAAATGCATTTATTGTAGGCTATATGACATTTTGACAGGTGTTGAATACAAATTTCATCACTGCATGTCAAGGATGCTGCTTAACTGTCACCTACGTTTGTGTTGTTGTTCCACTTGATGTCAGAGTCACATGTTGATGCATCTTTCTCAGCAAATGTACAGTTTAATCATGAGCTACCAGAGTGGATCAAATTAAACAACTGACTTTTTTACAGTACAACATGACGGAAATATGTACTAGGTGCAATTGGCCTATTCTACATAATAAAAAAGAATACCTTTGTCAAAAAGAAAATCAGAATGTGCAGAATGAAAAACTTAAAACCACATTTTGGTGGTTTTTCATTGTTTGATCCAGATTATTGCTTGGAAATATTGCTTTAGGAATCACATTCATAGATCTGAAAGCAATAATCCTTAAGATTTTCATGTTCACAAATCACATTTTGCTATAATTGGTAGAGGAAGAACACCTTTCTTCCTAAGTCAAACTTTTCTCCACACAAAACACAAACAGTGATACTTTCTGTAGGTGTTTTAGGTCCAGGTGACATTTTGGCTAATCTCTATTAACAGCTAGCTGAATTTGAATGCAGATTGATTAAAAAAACAATTGTCAATGCTTTACAGTCAATGTGTTCCACCTTTTTAGCTCTCCAACTCCGGACAACCAAAGCCTGCTCAAACGTCATTAGTCAAATTATACACGGAAACCAAAAGACTTCCAGCCCCACTATCTTCCCTCAAAACGGATACTGAATATTCACATGCATTTCCTCAGTTTTAAATATTGCAGAAAGTAATGCATAAGAAAAGACCAGGGGCCACAGACCTATAGAATCTATATCAGCTGATGAATCATCATCATGGGACAAAAAATATATGTGATCGCTGAACCCTCGTTTCCTCCTCATCTTTCTATTCGTGTGCATCCATCAAGCAGCATTACACACGGGTGTCACCACAGTATTTATATATTCAGAGCAATCGGACCGATTACTTCACACATCAGTGGATCCTAACCTCCCCTCTGGGATATTATTTGGAAATAGAAGTTTGAAAATGAATAATTTTTCTTTATTTTTGTGAGTGATCTCCAGTGCGCTCTGCAATGATGGCACAGTCACGTTCACTGCGGCGATTATACAAACACTCGTCCTTAATGATACATGCACAGTGTTAGAAGATATTAAAAGCTATTAATGACTCTGCTGTTTAATGGTATCTGGATGTAATTTGCTGGAAGTTGTTTTATATCTTTTTTAATTGAAGGTTGTATGGAACAGTTTTGTCGCACAAGCAAATGTTGGTTTTATGTTAATGATGAAGTGGATCAATAATCTGGCTTCAGTTCACCACCTCACCTCTGCATCATCATTTACCCGCCTCCAAAATGTTTGTACGCATTAGTCAGAGTTAGCATAGAAGTGCACACATTCTCCCGTCAAGTGTGTTTATATAAATCCCAACATTTGCGTGAGAAGTAGCATACACAAGTTTCAGGCCCCGTTTTGTGCGTACGAAACGGTTATAAATGAGGCCCCTGGACAGTGAAGTGTTACATGAAGAGCTGCAGGCAACTGACTACAACTCCAACTCCTCCTGTTACTGTGTCCGTCTGTTCAATGGAGAGCTACTTGTACCATGTGCAGCATGAAATAACACTGTTTTTCCTCTGCTTACAGAATTCTGGGAAATGTAGTATTAAACGGAAGGTGTCACCTGTGTCACGTGCCACAGCCATATCCAAAATCTTAAGGATTATGACTTTAGGTTGTTTGTAATATAGATAAGTCTTTGTCTGCTGTCCAAGATCATGCATACTTTGATAGAGGCATTAGAGTTGAAGGTTTCCTGTGTGCTGTCATAAACAGCCAATGCAGGGTTTTCCAATGGAAACTAAACACTTAACAGTAATCAACAGCTCACTTGGTTGGAGAGGTAGGTAGACGACTTTCTGGCAGTCTGCGTTAATAATAAGTCTGTAGCAGTAGTGTTTTTTCCTTCCAATAACACATACACTTTGAATAATTCAGATTATCGAGAAAATATAAAAGACTTCACAAATTACAGTAACAGGTCAGAATGGATAAACAAAGTACAAACAGTTACAACCAAATAATCTCCACCGTTAAAGTCATGCACGTGTGGAATATTTGTATATACATTCTTCAAAAGGTATAGATGACATATGTGCCATCTGACCAGTGTTGGTAGTTGAAGAAAAGACTCCAGGACAGTGTGAACACAGAGTTAACATACTGCCTGTCTTGATTTCTGGAAAGCACCATTTTCTGCCAGCTGAGCTTCCTGTTCCTGTTTTACTGAAATAAGAAAGGATGAATGGGGACACAAAGGTGCAGCACCCAGCACTGACAGTCTGTCTTTATCCGGACTTTACAATTTGATGGAGCTGAAAAATGAAAATAGGACCTGCTGTCCTCTTCTTGCTGATAACATAACATTAAACAGCATGTGCCCAGAGAATCACAGTATCCCACCCACTGAGGCAGTGGAGACAAAAACACAAAGCTAACACATTATAGTTCTTCTGAGTCACTGAGTATCTCTGTCTGCCCCCACACTGCATGGATGAATGCACTTGAGAAGACTTTGTCTCCTAATTTTGTTTTTTGGGGGATTTTGTCTGAGCCCTGACCTGTTTGGAGTCACTCCTTTCAGCATTAGCACAATTTTATGCTTTATTTAAAATTCAAGGAAAGCCACTGTGTGGGGGGTGTGCGTATCGATTTATGTGTGCAGATACAGTAAAACTGTCTTTGACAGTCAATAATATGTCCCAATGTGTGTCCAAACCTGATTGATAGGGTTGCAGTATAGTTTGTCAATTGCAGGGATCTGAACTGTTGGTTCATTATGTGATATCGATGTATAATATGTATTATTATAACCCTCACCCCACCGACATTCTTCTCAGTGCCAGTGGAGCCCTTGTTCAACACAGGTCCAGGATACCAAAACAGCAAAAAAAAGAGTAGAGATAAACAACATCAACAATGAACCAACAACAAATGGATTCCATTCACATTTCAATGGAATAGCAATCAGGATCACTCTAGTGTGGCAGCCTCCCAGTGCCTGTTCAAGACCTGTGAAATAAACAACAAAAAGCACTCAGAGGTGATGTAAGGCTCCACATTCCCTCAAGGATTCTGACACAGTATGAAATAATGTCACTTACATCCAGTGATAGTTAGGCCTAAACAAAATAGTATATCACATAGATCTTGCTTAACAGTCTATTTACACACAATGTGTTTTTTCTGTTCACATTTGCGATACCTTTAGTCATTTTTAAATAAACCTGGTGTTCACACACTGTTATCCCTAAACTGCACAAAATCTTCAATGCGCACAACTGTGAATTATCACCACCATATAGTAAGAGGTGTGGCTTGTTGAAACTGAATGTAATTTTCATGAATGTAAATGGTTACCCAACTCTTCTGTTGCTTAAAAGTGTTGCCATGTCCGACCATTCATGATTTAAAATAGCCGATCAGAAGATAAAGGTGTTTTCGTCCTATTTTGCTGCTTTTATGTGAGTTTGAATTGCCGATTTAATTTGGTTCCATGAATGCTTCTTGTTAGAATAATTGCAGTTCACAGCTAGTTTTTTCACGTGAGCTGCATTTTTTACAGTGCTCAAATTTGTACTTTTTTAAAATGTGTTAAAATCACATAGCTTCTCAATGCAAATGCGGCAGTGGATGCCGATTGGTGTTAGAGTGTGGACTCTAAACCTCTTTGAAATATAAATGGCTAGAAGAGAGATTGCAGTGAGTGTAGCTTCCAGGTTCACCTTTAACACAGTAAGGCAAACACAACTCAGTGGATTAGGTTGGGAACATGCTTGTATGGACGTAACCTTTATTGCAACAAAGGTAGGTACATTAGCCTCTTAGATTAAGTTTGCTTGGTCCCTTCCATTGTAAGTAGGCTACTTAGCCAGAAATGCTAATGACTGGGGATTATATCAGTCTGATTACCACAATGTGGTATTTAGATCTTGTTTTTTTGTAAACCTCAACACCAATATATTTGTCTGAGCCCTCAAATACATACCATAGCATACATAGTAGTGACAGCAATGAGCCTTCATTGCCATGGTGACAATAATAAACACATATTTTAGGTTGTGGAATAGTTAAATTTGGTTTGATTTAGGCACAAAGATTGTTTATTACAGAAATAAACTTACAGTTCAGGCTGTGGAATAGTCTTGTTTTTGGTTTTGGATAGTATAAAAAAATCACTGCAGGCT